ACGTGGCAGGACCACAGTTGTGCAGAAGTGACAAATCAGGAGATGAGAGTACATGACAACGTCTTTAAGGACCCTCTAGATGGAGATGACATGACATTGTTTACTGATGGGCACTCTCACAAGACTGAAGGGGGTGCRCTGATTACCTCTTTTGCTGTGGTGTCAGAACATTAGGGACAGTTTGTGGTGATGAAGTCAGAGGTCATCAGTTAACCAGCATCAGCTCAGTTAGCTGAATTGAAAGCAGCGACAGAGGCTTGTAAATTGGCGGCAGGTAAAAAAGTTAACATCTACACAGATTCAGAATATGTGCATCGATGTGTCCACATTGATTTAAGTCATTGGATGAGGAAAGGTTTTATGACTGCTTMTGGGCAGCCATTGAGTCACCTGCAACAAATATTGGAGTTGTACTATGCACTGAGACAACCACAGGCTGTGTAAGTTTTGAAATGCAGAGCTCATCAGAAAAAGTGTGATGTGGCAGCAAAAGGAATTTTCAGGCTGACAGAGCAGCAAAGTCGTGTGCTGGTTATGACAAAAACAGTCAGATGGTTCAGGTGACGGGAGGAGTTGCTTCTGGTAGTTCTGAGGAGGACATTTTGCAGAAAAAAATTGATGTTCAAACTATAAAGGAGTTGCAAACTAATGCTGCCTTTTCAGAGAAATAACTGTGGMAGGACAGAGGGGGCAGACGGGATGCTGAGGGCATCAACGGAAACCATGAGGGAAAGGTTGTGGCTCCTGAAACTTTGGTGAACCTGTTGTGTCAGGACGCTCACAGTAGGGGGCATGGTTCCGGTGCTAAGATGCTTGACATGATCACTCAGGTTTGGTGGCATCCTAATATCTGTTATGAATGGGCTTTTTGAGTTTCACAATTTGTCACACACCAGAGAAGATTTACACAGTTTATTGAACAGAAAAACAGACTTGCGTCACGGGAATCCGGAGTCCTCCTGGCGAGCGGCGCTGTCGGGGGAATCCCTAGGATGACGTCACCTGACAGGGAAGGCGAGAGAGCGTCTTACAGAAAAGTCCATGTAGTAGAACGGAGATGAGGCGTCTAGGTCAGGAGACGGAAGCAGAGGTCGAGAAACCGGGAGACAGATGACTGGTGGGGTCCGACAGGGGCGAAGGCGAAAGGCGGAAGTCCAGAGGCGAATGCGTGGGTCAGAACCAGGAAGTCAGAATCCGATGAGGTACCGTTCAGGGACAAGGCAGGAGACGTAAAACCAGAAACAGGAAGCAGGATCGTGACTTAGACAGACGAGACTTGACATGGATGGCTAGAATATTTACTGGGTATAACCGTTCGATAATCAGGCGCTGGACTTGTGGAGGTGAGGAGCTTAAATACAGAGGGACACAGGTGAAAGAAATGAGTGTGATTGGGG